CATCCCGCATGTCTTCCTCAACACTTGCTCGTAGTTGCCTAATTTAAATCGAGTAATCGATTTTCGAGCGTTTGTTCGTCGAGTTGCGTTTACTTAAACACATTATCGGTCTTTGACTCTTTAGTGTTACCTCATTGTAGATAAATTGCATTACGATTCTACATGTTCTGTACTTGTATATATTCTGTGCTTGTATATATATAATTCAAATATTTTAAATATATTATGCATCGTGTTTATTTTTTTAAATATTCTAATTTCATAAACTGTTCATCATATACTTAAAAATAAAATATCTTTCAGCATATATTATTAATTATACCGTTAAAGATATTTAAATAAAAAAGTTATAAAAATTAATTTTTCTAATATTATATATTCGTAATTAATTATTTTCCTCTGAAATGTTCTTAATAATTAATTCTCTATTAAAGTTTGCTTGAAATAATCCAAAAAACAAAATCTAGGACAATTCATATTATTCATAAATTATCGTTGCGAGGAAATTAGGGAGACCGGCGCGATGCTTGACTAATATATATGAAATGACTCATCCTCGCTATCTCGAGAGAGTGGATTATCCGCGAAATAGAAATAGATCGCAATGGGCCGACTGGCTAGCCAAAGACGCCATACCGGTTCCGGTTTAAGCTTCAGTTTAGCCGACTCTCTTTTAATCATCAAAACAATGTTGACGATCGAAAGATGTGCGAAGATGAAAACCAGTCCGATTCTACCATGCGACCAAGTTTATACTGCACTGAAGAAACCTTTTCGGCGAAGAATATTAACATTGTCGATCGAATGCTCACTAATCGAATAAAAATTGCCTACAATCAATCCAAAAAGAATCAACAAAAAAAAAAAAGAAATTTTAAACTTAAGTAATTAAATTCTGATTTTTTTTATTCTAAAAAAAATTTTTTGTAAATAAATCAATATTTTTTAATTGATGTTTAAAATCTATATCTTTTTCTTAATCTCCGTTAATGTATATTTTTACATCTTTTCCTCAATAAATAAAGATTGATTATGTTGAAAGAACTGATGTGACAGATTTGAAATGAGAGAATGAATCGCATCTTCATGAACATACGTTGGTATGTATAATGCTGCATGCCGATTTATGCAATCATCGGGCTTCCGGTTTACGTAGCGAACGAAGAACGTTTCATTCTGTACGCTATTGTACGTGTGGCAGGAGTGTGTACGAGTTGTAAACCGACGACGAGTTGCAAGTCGCGTGCTGAGAGCGGTTCCGAAAGGAAAACACGTGATTCTCGAATTGGTTACAAGCTGCTTCACAAATCGCTAAAGGCACAAAGAAATCAATTAAAAAGTCATAAAACTAAATAAGAAACACATTTAATGTTAAACCTTTAAAATTCAATATGTTTCAAGATTATAGTATAATAATTATTGTATGTATATTTAAAAAATTTGTATACTTTTATTAAAATTGTACTTTAAAGTTTCATATATTAAAATTATTATGACAAAAAATTGTAATATATTAAAAATTTTGAAAAACAAAATATCGACCGATCGGTTTCTGTTACTTTATCTCGATTATCTTTACTTATCATTTACGTGAATCACCCTGTACATATGGCGCGTGTGTGCGGCTTGCTTTAATTATAGACTGGAGCCCTTCTCCTTTCCTTAGCGTCCACCCTCGACACCGCGAAATTGGAAAGGCGACGTCTACGAGGCTGACTATACAGACTCGTTTCTGCAGTATGCGTATGTTCGATTGAGGGTAAGAACAAAATTCGAGAAAAGAACTTGGAAGAGCTTTACGTCGCCTGCACCCTCAAAGTTACCACCCTAAGCTCTAAAGTAATACGGAGTACTTAGCAAAGCAAATACTACAGCTATTAAGAGCTATGCGCAAAGTTTCCTGGCCTAGTAAACTATAGAGTTTCTGCCAAGAACTGAAGAGTGACACGAAATTGTTCAACACTGTCGAAATTGAAATTAAATTCTACTATCATTTTATACAATATTTTTATATATTATTTTATGTAACTATACTATAATATATAATCACAACAATATTATATTATCTAAAATATAACAAATATATACAATGAAGCTCGAAAGAATCTATCAGTGAAAAATGTAAAAAAGTTCATCAGAGCCTACATCAACTATTGCAGAATGCACAAAAATTCTTTATTTTTCGTGTGAATGTAATGAAACAAATAAAATATACGTTTCAACCCTTCAATTCGGGCCCTTATCAATATAAAATATAAATCGAAATTACATAATTAACGCAAATTCCAAGTTGATGATTCCCGACAATTACTTCGTTGTTATTACCCTCTTTTGGTCTTAGTTTTATTTTTATTTCAATATCTACTTGATTTAATTATTTTGACTCTCATTGTATCTCTGACTGTCGACATCACAAGTCCTTTACGTGAAGCCGCGAGAAAACGCTTACACATGCGAGCGGATATAATAGAAAATTCAGACGAATGATTTTAATAACTCTCTAATTTCCGTTTCGTGTTTCTTTTGAAGGACTGCACAGCAAATCTGACAATTTGATGAGCGATGTGATTCTACGTAGTGACGCAATGCATATAACTTCGGTTTTACTTTATGTAAGTTTTATATTATTATTGAATAATGTAATAATTTTGATAATTATTGAGCTATTCATTACATAGTTAATTTAGTATTTGGATAAAAAAGAACGAACTAATTGTCGGGAATCATCAACTTGGAATTTGCGTTAATTATGTAATTTCGATTTATATTTTTATATGTATAAGGACCCGAATTGAAGGGTTAAAACGTATATTTTATTTGTTTTGTTACATTCACACGAAAAATAAAGAATTTTTGTGCATCCGAATAACTGATGTAGGTTCTGATGGGCTTATTTACATTATTCATTATATTATCTCGTATTACTCGTACATATTATTTCTTTTTATATACAATTTTATTGCTTCTAAATTTTTTAAAACGTTTTATCTAAAGAAACGAATTTACTATATTGAGAGCAAAATGGAAAAAACGTGAATGCTTCTAATTTTCAATTCGTCAATATTTACTATGGGTGTGAGGACTATGTTTGAATGGAAAGAAGAGAGAAGGGATCGAGGGAAAGGAAAAACGAGAGAACATCGTGTTTTATGGATTTCGAGTGCATCTCGTCGGGAAAACGAGCCACGTCACATCCGGATGGATGGATCGAAGTGCGTTGTCGAATTATACTTCTCCCTCTCCCTTTCTCTCTCTTTCTCGTAGGATGTGATGCCACCTTGTGTATCCAATTTGCATAATCCTGAGTCAACGCGCGACGCTCTTCCTTAGGGGATACAAGTTGAAAGACTGTCAGTGAGAATAGAGTCCTTATAGTGTTATAAGGAAAACAGACATGACATTTTGAAATTTTATCGAATATTCTCTTTTGCAAGTGTTAATAATTCCGCGTCTTTTCAGAGAACATTAAAATTTAATTATGAAAAAATGTACATAAACAATTTTTAATTTTAGTGCAAGAAAAATTTAAGTGACATGTCGCGCGCGTTGCAAGATGAAATAAGTAATTGAGATAATTTATTATATGTACAAGGATGTAACAAGACGTTGTAATTAACAGCTTTTAATTAATTGCAAACGGCGGAGGAACCGTGTGGAAGCCGGGTACTTAATCGTGCGCGCGGATATAAAACGCGCGTGTCAGAGGTTACGCAAGGCACGATTCTGACCGAATTTTTGCTGTAATGCTTCCGTAAAACGCTAATTAAAATGCTGAATAAAATCCAAGTAATCGTTTTTCTCAAACCAGAAGCACGGATTTATCTTACGATGTTATCGCAAAATATGTTTATTACGCATTATGATGAAGGATCATATCTTGCAAAATGAGATACGCGCATGCCTAAAGCGAGAAGAAATATTTATATGACTTCGGAAAAATTATTATTCAGATATAGTAGCTAAAGATATTACAGTGATACTATAGCCTGTAACGTTTAATTTAAAAATTAGTAAATATTATTTTAATTAAGATAAAAATACATATAAAGGTTATAATATTACGCGCGATAAAAGTATAATATATATGTTGTAATATAATATTAGAATTAAATTATTAAATGAAATTAATAATAGAAACTATAAAAATAATTTTTAAATCAATGCATTTTAAATCAAAATTGAAAAGAATGAAATTTAAAATTTTTGAAGAACTACAGCATAGATAAATGGACAAATATAAATACTTTTATTAAAAACACGTAAAAGTAAATTGAAGGTTTAAGATTATGAAAATAGATATCGAAATATTTTTTAAAGAGAATCAAAACGTGCCGCAAGAGACGTAATCGCGTCTGTTTTTTTCTGCGCGTTATTCTAAATATTTCGAAGAGATGCGGACGGTGATCTATGGTGCACCATACGTACAGTTGCATGGATTTTATCTACGTATTCGAAGCGGGGAAAGAGAGGAGGAGCGAGCTTGTGAGCTTTCTATTTTTAAAGGACTGCGCTCGTGCATGCTGGTTCTTAAATTTACTTCTCCGGAGGAAGATCCGGAGCATCCACGCATCAAATATCAAATCTTTTGAATTTCACATTCCATTATTTTTTTATCTAATATTTTTAATCTAATATTTTCTCCTTTCGCATACAGAACAGTCCATATTCTATCAAATTTGATTAGAAAATATATTTTATGTTTGAAATATTTTATTTATTTATATTTCATTTATATTTTGTGTATTTATTTATATAAGATTATAAAGATCTATTTTGCATATATTGCAACAATAAAATATATTTATTTTTGTTCTACAATTAAAAATAAACCTGGCATTTATATCCTAAGTATTATTATCCTAAGTATTATATTTCCAATAAACACGAACAATGTCATTTCAATTACCTGAAGCGTTCTTAAAGGATTATGTAAATGCTGAATATAATGAACTTCGTCTGAAAATAATGAACTTTTGTACGAAATTTTTAATTATACTCACCATTTGTTGGGCGCTTTTCGGCTTTCGATTTACGTCGATCACTTTTTGATTAGCTGAAATAAAAAAAAATGTGTGTCTTAATTTAGAAGATATTCCTCGTTCATTTAATTGACTAACGGACGCGATAAATTGCATATGCGTGCATACGGCACGTGACTATCGTACCTTATGCACTAATGACTTTAGTGTCGATTTATGTGTTACGGATAACTGTCCAACGCCATAAACGACCCAATACTGTTAGGCGAATCACAGATTTATGTCACCCGTCGTCACTCAACCTTTTTCGCACATTTCAATTTTTATTAATAAAATGTCGCAACACTTATTTAATATAAATGTTTCCTTTCTTTTTTATATTAAATAAATAAATTTAAATAAATAAATAAGAAAATTGTAATACAATATTTATGGATATAATTAATTTAAAAATCTGCAAATATTTCACGAACATTTCAAACTTTGTTTCTTTTTATATTATATAAATATTTTATTTGATTACATTTTAAAAAGAAATGAGAGTGTGCGGAAGATACTTACTGACAGCCTCCACTAAGTCAGCTAACAGGACACCGTCGCAGAGATCAGCCTGGAGATCGGTCACTCTTTTCTTGCAACCCCCTCGTTCCAAATAATAATTAGCCCAATCTGTATAGATCTGGAATCATCAAAAATAATCATACAATAAATAATTATATAAAGTAATATATAATACATATGGATATATTCTAAAATACTACTATTATTATTAGTAAAATAGTAAAATAATAAAATAGTACTATTATTATTACACAATTAAGTAATATTTTCTAAGTCAACAATTATTTTTTTTTTTATTGTCTTGAAACATAAATATATATATATAAATTTCGAAGTAATTTCAATGTTAAGTTCTTCTGTTTAGAATATCTACTTCTCATTTTTATTTTTTGCATCTTAATAAAAATATTTATAAAATGAGTATTTGTGGAATGAGTTAAGTATTTGTTGAAGTACAATGTGAAAAATTGCACGCGCTCTTAATTACGTCGCGTTTTATGCAATGATTGTAGTTGATCGATCGACTCTTGGGATTGTATAATCAATAAAGTAAAGGCGATCATAAAAGAAAAAAAAAGGAGAGAGAGAGAGAGAGAGAGAGAGAGAGAGAGAGAGAGAAATTCATGGTTAAACATTCATGCATGTTAATTTTAAT